CATGTGGTGCTGGGGGATTGAACCGCGGTCCCTGATGCTTTGCCAAGCTTGTTCTAAGTAGGTGCCTTAGACCACTGAGCCATCTCTCCAGCCCCTACCAAAACTTTTAAGACAGGCTCTTGCCAAGGTTCCTGGGTTGGCTTCAGATTTTTGATCCTGAGCCTATGCACCACTGTGTCCAACTGATATTTTGAATTCTTGAAGTTAACTTTTGTGCTTTTGTTTCTCAGATCTTTATCCTATATTTAAAATTTCAGCCTGTGTGGTTTTCTAAGAATAGCAAATATATCTAAAGCAGGAGATTGTATTTAAATGAAACATGTATGTCTGTTAAATTAAACTAATTGTGCTTTGCTAAAATAGCTCTTAAAAAAAATAAAATAGCTCTTAAAAGGTCTAACACTTGCTCATACACAGGAAATTATGTGGAAACTGTTGGCTTTCTCATTGCTGGGATTCAGTATACGACACCCACAGCTTATGGGAGGGAAGGGCTAGTTTGGCTCACAGTTTGAGTGGATCCAGCACATGGTCTGTGGCTCTGAGGCAGGAATTTGGTGGAAGAGCCTGGTGGAGCAGAGCAGTGCAGGTCATGGCACTGAGGAAGCAGACCAAGGGAACAGTGCCAGAGCAGAGAGGGCAGGGGCCGGTTGGAGAGCCCAAGGTCATACCGTGTGACCCGCCAGTACACGTTTAGAAGTATGCTTTCCTAATCCCTTAGTCAGCCCCCAAGCCAGTCATATTGATGCAGTTAAGCCTAACCACCACAAAGACTTTGTGAGCTAATAGGCTTTTTTATATGAATAAAGGCTATGCCAGTTTTCATACTGCTTTTTCACAGACTTAATGGCATGCTGAATTGAACTTTAGAGCAACTCTTTCCCCAACTCTAATATACCTGTAAATGACCTGGAAGCATTGTCCTGCCAAGGAGGGATCCAGACTCTGTTTTTAACAGGTCCTGAAGCACAGCATGCTTTTGTGTCCATTCACCACACTTGGGGTAGCAAGATGGGAATAAAAATGCCTGTCTTTTTTTAAAATTTAAATTATTTTATTTTGAATAGTAAAAACAAATAACAGAAAGAAAGGCAGAAAGGCTGGCCAGATATCCCAGTGGACTAAAGCACCTTCTTTGGCAGAGCTTAGCAGCCAGGGTTTGATCCCTGGTGTGTTGTGCTAGCCCCGCGCCCCAGGGAGTGCTGAGACTGCAGTTGAGACTGGGCGTGGTGATCTGCCTATAATCCCTTCACTTGGGAGGCTAAAAAAAGGAGAATCACTATGCATCTGATCTACACAGTGAGACCCTGTACACCCTGTAGATCTGTCCTAAATTCTTAGAAAGAAACAGGGTAGTATATGACAATACATGTTGTAGATTTTCAAAAGAAGAATAACAAATTAACAGTGATTGTTCTATTATTTATTTTTATCGTCAGATCTGTTGCTCCTCTTCAAATCTGTTGGTCTTGTCTTTGAGATCTTTTCTTTCCAGTTTTTTGAGACAAGATGGTGCTATGTAGTTCAGGCTGGCCTCGAACTCAACTCTTCAGTTGTGCTGGCCTCAAACTTCCCGGCAATCCTCTTGCCTCAGCCTCCTGAGTGCTGGGACACAGGTGTGTCTCACCATACCTCACCTTTCAAAATTATTTTAAGAATTTAAGGTAAAATATGTTAGCAATTTAACTGCTTTAGGGACTCGTTGGGTATATCCCAGGAGAAATGGTACAGGAATGAGGAAAAGACAGACAAGCTCTGGGTCAGGTAGTGGCCCGCTTGCCTCATTTGCAAAGGATCCAAAGAACAACATGGGAGTGTTTATACCTTTGCAAAGTTAGTATCATGTGACAGAAAGTTGCTTAGTAACTAATAGCTGACATTGGCCAGGAAGGTTGCTTTTCTCAGGAATGAGGTAGCTTGACTGCTTTAGGCACTGAGACCCTGTCCCGCCTCCCACATAGGATCATTTTCCAGTGTCAGCCACCTCCAGCAAACTGTGGTTAACCACTTCATAGTTAGCCAACAAATGAGTCACCATATTATGATTAGTAACTGATATAAAAATAAGAACAACTCAGGTTGAACATTGAGAAACCTTCTTGGCCATTCAAATTCTGTTTAAAAGAGGTACATCATATTTGAATAAGAAAAATGTGAAGCTACAAGCATATCTGACAGCCTGACTGTGTTCTGTTTTATCACCCCCCCTCCTTTTTTTTTTTTTTTGAGACAGGGTCTTTATGTGATATAGGCTGGCCTTGAACTTGCTGTGCAGCCCAGGCTATCCTCAAACTCATGATGATCCTCCTGCTTACACTTCTCAACTGATGGGATTATAGCTGTATGCCATCATGCCTAGCTTTTTCCTGTCTTGAGTTCAGACCGTGATTTTTTTTTTTTTTTTTTTGTATCAGGAATAAAACGCAAGACGTTATGATTGCCAGGCAAGCACTGTGCTGCTGAGTGACTGACATCCCTGGCCCTCCCTGGCCTGCCTTGATTTTTTTTTTTTTTTTTTAAGATAGAGTTTTACTAAGTAGTCCAGGCTGACTTCAAGCTCACAGCATTTCTCCTGCCTCAGCCTCTCAAGTGTTGGGATTGGACGGGGGAGATGGCTCAGTAGAATAAACCCTTCCCTGGCAAATGTAAGGGCCTGAGTTCAATCCCCAGTTCCGCCAAAAACAAACAAACAAAGCCCAAAAAACTGCATTGTGAAACCATGTCTCAAAAAAGAAAAAAAAGGGGGCCTGCCCCTTAGCTCAGTTCTTTAAGTGGCTGCTTCAACAAAGCAATCAGGCTCAGGTTGCTGTGGTTTGATCCCTACAACACAAGCCAGCCAGTCATGCCTTGAAGGCATTCAGAGCAAAAAAAAAAAAAAAAAAAGAAAAAAAAAAGGGGGGGGATTCAAGTGTTGGGATTAAAAGGTGTGCACCATTATGCATGGCTTTTGAATTCTATTACAATTTATTATTACAAATTTGTATGTAGGGCCGGGGAGGTGGCTCAGTGGAATAAACGTTTCCCTGGCAAGTGCAAGAGCCTGAGTTCAATCCCCAGTTCTGGGGAAAAAAAAAAAATTTGTATGTACCATCTAAGAAAGTAATATGAAATCAGTGGAAAAGGCTGTGGAAAATTAACTGGCTCAATCCCCAGCACTGGAGGAGGAAAGCTGCTGAAAACTTAATCTTTTATATTAATATGAGCAATAGTTAAAACTGAATTCTTTATTATAATGAAAATTTGTTTTATATTATAGTGTTGTAAGCTGGGCATGGTGGCACATACCCATATCACCAGCACCAGGAAGCCGAGGCAGGAGGATCATGAGCCGGCCTGGCCTACATAGCAAGTTGAAGCCTGGCCTAGACTGGATATATAGCAAGACCCTGTCTCCAAAACCAGAACAGCAGCCCACATTTAGTGCCCAGGAATATATTAAGTGGTTGTTAGAATGCACTACAAGAAAGAGTATGTAGGGAAAAGACGGGATTTTGGTAAACAATTTCAGCCAGAGTCTACCATCTCTGGTTACCCTGCCAATAACAGTGTTAGGAGAAGGACTAGACTCCTTCTTAAGCCTTATTACTGTTTAAAAACATAGCATGAATAAAAACATAAGTTTTATTTGTTCTGGGAGATTAAGGAGAAATTGTATGGGTGACTGTTATCTTTTTTTCTAGAGTATCTACTTAGATATAGATTACAGATTTTCCCACTGTGAGACTATGAGTAAAGTGTGGGACAATTCTAATAGCAGGCGTGGTAGCAGTAGGATGGGTTTGGAATGAACCTTTTTTAACTTTTCTCGAAACCATTCTATAATGGTTTTATGAGATTGGGTTTCAGAAGCTATAGAATGGAGATTTTATGATTAATTTTCATGCAGCGTCACACTGTTTTAAATTTTTTTCCTCCAGGTGGTTTTGACGATAACTCTCCTCTGAGCTCTGTTGAGCGGTATGATCCTCGAAACAACAAGTGGGATTACGTGGCCTCGCTCACCACTCCCAGGGGTGGGGTGGGGATTGCCACGGTGATGGGCAAAATCTTTGCAGTCGGTGGTCACAACGGCAATACGTACTTAAACACAGTGGAAGCCTTTGATCCAGTGCTGAACAGGTGATTTGCACATTGCTTCTGGGATTCAGTGGCACATTCTAGTGATAGATTACTCCAGAAAGAGAGTAGTGCAGCCTCCTCCTTATTCACAGGTGTGTTCAGACCACCTCCACTGGAGGCCTGAATCAACCACTAGCACCAAGCTTCATAGATATCACAAGAACACCTAACTTAGGAATTAGGCATAGACATAGGCATAGGTAGTAATAAAGTAGAGCAATTATAGCAGCACTGCCCACTGTAGTGAAGTTAGCAGCATCACTGTCTGCACTTTGAGACCATTATTACATAAGCATTGCTTGAACACACCAATGCAGTAGCACCACAGCCAGTGTGGGAGCAGAGGTGGTCATCAAGGAACAAGGTAGCATCATCCCCAGCCTGTATATGCTGGACAAACAGGCAGAACAGAGTAGGGTACTTGAGATCTCATTATCCGCCTTAGCAGCATACAATTTAAAGCCTAAGCATTATTTATTTCTGGAATTTTCCATTTAATATTTTGGGGCTAGGATTGACTTCAGGTAACTGAGACTATGAAAATCAGAAGCTCACATAACTGTCCTATACTCGAAGTGTTCCTACAGACTTAGGGATACTGCACTTTATCCCCTCTGGGAAGCTTGCTATCTTTCAGAAGCAGTCCCATCCTAAGGACTATCTGTGGCTGGTATTTATTTTGAGTAAATGATGCTTGGTTTTAAGCACTCCTTGTCCTCTGTCTTTCCAGGTGGGAGCTTGTGGGCTCTGTGTCTCACTGCAGAGCTGGTGCAGGCGTCGCTGTGTGTGCCTGTCTAACAAGCCAGATTCGGGACGTGGGCCTCGGGTCCAGCAACGTGGTAGACTGTATGTGACTAGTGCGCAAGCACATACCAACTGTCGCATCTGATGAGCAACAAAGCCAGCCAAGATTTTGCTATGAACCCCTTTGAATTTTAATGACAACCAGAGACTTATTTAAATGTACAACTTTTTGAATGATAATTGAAGAATTTTTAGTCCTACTGTTAGATTTGGTACTTCCTGGTTTAATAAATAATGGTGTGGGGAGAAAGACACTTTAACTTGAAACCCATACCTATTCTGGAGAAAATGTGTGAGATAGTGCCAAAACCTTGAAGTCTCTGTTTGTTTGGATGAATCCAAATGAAATTTGTTGAGTTTCACTTTTCCTTTGCCTAAAGGGATTAGCCTTGGGTCATGGGTCCCTCCAGATCAGAGCTTAGAAGCTACGTGTGTGTGCCTGGGCACAGAAGACCTGCTGTTCTGGAAAATCAGTTCTACTTGGTGCTGCTGAAGTTTTGTCTTTTATTCTAAGTGTTGATTTTCACTTTCTTGGGTATTTACAGAAGTAGAAAAACTTTCTGTCTGAATGTCAGTTGGCTGCATTCTTGGAAGCTGATGCAGGCCTTGATTTCCATTTGAGTTGCTAAGACACCAAAAAACTTGGCTGTGCTAATAATGTCTGGACAAATCTACACTTTTGTTTTTGTTTTTTGTTTTTTTCCTATCTCATGCTGAAAGTGAACCCAAGGAAATACTAGAGAGGGCTTAGGACTGCTATCATCCCAGTGCTTAGACGGGAGACCCTGAGAAGGTGCCAGTTATACACTGTCTACCAAGGGAACTCTGAACCTGTCTTTACCCTTCTCCTTTGACTTGTTTGATTTTGAACCCAGGATTGACCACCAGAACTCTTTGTTGACTAGTTTCAAGTCCATCGTTAATGAAACACATGTTGGGAAAAACAGAGGAAGATGGAAACTGCTCTTCTTTTCTTATGTTTAACACTCTCTAGTGTATTTATTGCAGTTTAATTGAAAACATTTCTGCAAATTAATTTGAACCCCAAGGTACTGATAAACCAACTGATATTACAGCATTTCATTGTTTTAACTAGCATTATAAGATGACCTGTTCATTATTTGTATATACTTTTATAAATATTTATTGAGAACATTAAAGTACCGTTTTACATTTGCTGTGCAGCTTGGCATCCTCTTCTGGGTCTTCACACGCATGCACTCTGGAACCTGACCAGTTCACTGCTGCGCAGTTGCTTGATGCTCAGGGAAGCTGGCCAGTGAGAGACTCCCTGACCCAGCCGGGCCTGAGGGCTACTGCTGATTAAATGAGGACTGGACTTGTCAGTGCAGGAGGACAAGAGGCCATATTCCAAAAGCCAGCTGTCAGGCATCCCCACTGAAAGAGAGGAAAAACATTCAAGGGGGCTCAAGCTGGCAGTGCACTTCATGAAGCAAATTTCAAAGTTCTCATCATGTATTTTGTCTACTCTTGGCTTTTGGCAAATTCCTGAGTCATGTTTGATTATATAGCAGGGCTCCTAGTGTAACTGACCACATTTAAATTACGCCCCAAAATGGAGCTGGCGAGATAGCTCAGAGGACTAAAGTGCCTGCTTAGGCAAGTGCAGGGACCACAGTTCGATCCCTGGCACCACATGGCCAGCCCTGTCCCCACAGTGGGCTAAGCCAGCCACAGAGTCTGGGCATAGTGGTGCACACCTGTAGTCCCAGCACTGGGAAGGTTAAAAAACAGGAGGATTACCATGAGTCCGAGCTGCATAGTGAGACCCTGAAACAACTAAATACATTAAATATAATAGTAAAGTACCCCCCAAAAGTGCTGGCTGTGCTGGGCACAGCTGGCTGTGGGGAATAAGTTGAAAAACCTGGCTTCCACTCTCTGTTTCCATGTCTGATGAAGCTCGTGTATTACAGTGTATATCTGGCTATGGTTACAAGTATGTTTACCTTCAGGTGTCGGCATCTGACTGTTTCCTATGATCATTCAAAGCATTTTTCCGCATCACATGTGTTTGCCTGTTGTGTGAAGAGAGGTGTGTGTGACATTGCCCTTTCTGGCTTATACAGTACTCGTGTCAGACATCCTACATGTCCACCCTCACACTCACAAAACACGAGATGGGCGTAGGTAAAGGGGAACATGGGGCTGACATAGACAGATGGGAAAAGAGCAGTTAGCATGCAGTCTTGCTGGACAGGAGCACCTTGGAAATAGAAAGTGGGACTTGCTGAAAGGAGATGCAGCTGAGAGGATGCTCGTGCCGAGACATAGGTGGTTGGAGAAGTAGTTCCCCATAGTGCGCTGTTGCTTGGACCTGTGACGTGAACAGCACATCCCAGAAATGTGATGTAAGGTAGAGTTAAAATACTGAAATCAGAATGCAAAAAAAAAAAAAAAAAAAAAA